TATAATTCCCTTGTATCTCTCAACCAGTGAAGGTCAGTATGCTATAGATCATGTAATCAATCATTGTCTCATACGCCATAGCACATCATTTTTTTTAATTTAGATCAAATATTCAAGGGTGTCAAAGAACTTAATAACTATTACCAGGCTGACTATCTAAGAGATCATAATGGTGGTGAAATGAAGATATTGATAATAAAAGTTACCATGAAGATGATATGAATACAGTTTGTAAGGTGGGATCACTTGCCTTGATTTCTCTTCTTTGTTTAAGAAAACTCCACAGAGGAAGTAGCTGGTGACATTGCCTGTGCTTGAAGGACTTGTCAATCTTTATCAGCCATCTTGGCTCCAACATAAAGCAAACAGAGGGTGTTTCATTTGGTTAAGACAATGAACGTATTCATATCAGGTAATACATTATTTTCTCTTTTGTTTATGTAATAAACCATCTGATTAGTGATTTTTAAAATGAATATTTACCTTGCATGAATTCATTGATTTGGTAAGGGACTGATGCATAGAATACTTTTTCCATTTACAAGACAAGAATAGGATGCTAATAGTAGAAAACAAGTTAAAGAAAAGAAAAGAAAAGGAAAGAAACAAAGAAAACCTAGTTGAAACTTGACATTAGTATGTTATCCAAATATAATAATAACATGAACATGTAATCCTTCATGTTGAACTACATATGTGGAATCCAACAGCCTTTCTTTGCGGCAACAATCTCTTTTGTTTATTTCAAATCAATTGCTGATGAGAGATAGCACTGAAATAGAGAGCCTAAACTATTAAATGTAGATATTAAACCCATACATGATCCAAGGCCTTAGAACTTGTCAAAGCTTATCGACAAATTGCTGATGTTTACATCTTGTAGCTCTATGGATGAATTAGCAATGCTATGAGTAAAATAAGAATTGCAATCGAGTCGAGTATTGAGAAGCTCAAGCTCAACTAGGTTGAAATAGTCGAAGGCTCGAAGCTCGAGCTTAACTAGGTTGAAATAGTCGAAGCTCAAGCTCGAGTTCAACCGAACTTCAATTGTCAAGCTCAAGCACGAGCTCGATAAATATATGATCGGTTCGAGCTCAACTCGATTATAACCGAGTCAAAATCAAGCTTGATTATAACCGAGTCAAAATCAAGCTTGAGCTCAACTCGATTATAATCGAGTCAAAATGTGAACTAGGAATTTAGGGTATGAAATTTTTAGTTATTAATTATTTTAATTTATGTATATAATATTAATATAAAATTAAAATATTATATAATATGTTGAACTTGAGTAAGTTCGTGAGCTGCTCGAGTAAGTTCACAAACTGCTCCAAATCAAGTATTATTAGGCTCAAACTTGGCTCGACTCCACACGCAAGCTACTCGAGCTCGAGCTCGACTCGAGTCAAGCCTGAGCAACTCGTGAGCGGCTCAACTTGTTTGCAAGCCTAAGCTGTAGAACCAATGGTATGATAGGTCAATTGTGAGTTAACGAAACTGTACATTTCGGCATTTACAAAATTTGAAACTCAAAAGACTTTCAAATATTCATACCGCCATCAATAAGTAACCTCAATGCCTTTAAATTCATCATCAGTAGAAACATGTTGAGACAAACCAATAGATTTTGAGCACAATAAATTAGGTTTCCTGATGAGATAATCATCAACCTTATTCTTTTTAAAATTGAATTGATACCAAAATTCACAAATAAAGGAATTATATCCTGTAGACAGTCCTTAACTTGGAATATAAACAAAATTTGTTTTGTTGTGATTCTTGGTATCAACTTAATTCCAAAAAGGTCAGCCCATGAGGAAACCTAGTGCATGTTCTGCCCAAAATCTATTGGTTTGTCTCAACTTTGTTTAAAGGCAAGTCAAACCATTAGTAAGAAAGCCTTCCCAATTTGGGGTGGTAGAACTTTCAACATCCGGAACTCCACTTCCTGTAGCCAAAAGTTAAATATTGTATAACAAATCCAAGACATAATATCCTCCACTGCATTCTCCAAAGACATCCCAATGCGTATTTTAAATCTAAATCTTGTACCAAAATATTTATCTTCAGAGGCCTTGCCATAGTCTCCATTATCATTAAAATCTGGAGAATTTCCGGGTGGTTCAATTGGACCATGCTTTGGAGCAGTTTATACATCGGCTACACTTGCAGCACAAAAGGAGAAGTCACTGGGTTCCAGCTGTTGGTAGAACACAATCTTGATATCTAATGCTCATGATTCTAAGAAACATATAAACAAATTACTATATAAGATTCAATCCGTATGCCAAAATAAATAATGACAATATAAACAATGTGGAAATGCACCAGCCCAATATTAAAAAATTGGCATAAAATTAGCAGATATTATGATTTTAAACAAAAATGCTTCCAAGAAAGAGAAAAGGCAAACAGATATGCAGCTCTTCATCAATATTCGAATTATGCCGGAAAGATTATAAGCACTCAAAGAAGGCGTTGGAGATCTCATTTTCAGAAATGTATGAATGATCAAAAAGAAGGTTCTTCCTCCTGAGATTCCATTTTGCATATTGCATACTCCCTCTCGAACAACAAAAGCTCCTGAAAAATGAGAAAGNTCCCTATTAGTTTATTTTATTGTAATTACACAACTAAAATTATAACAAAATATAAATTATTTTAAGTTTTTTAAGTATGAACTAAGAATTACATATTAATCATAAATTTTGTACAAACTAATTATCATTAAGTTTATGAAGTTTGATGGTAAATTTATTGAATAATTAAACATGAAGTGCAATAAGTTAAACTGTGTAAGACAATTTTTTTTTTTCCAAATTAATTTGTTTGGATATCAAATACTATTGTTAGAAGTTGTATTTGTTTCAAATCTCTAATTTGATAAGCTCTTATAGTGTATATATGTGGTTAGACTCTCTCTTTCTTTAAACTAACTTTCCTTCATGTTTCTGATATCACCGTTGGCACGTGAAGGTTTTCTGCCCATCGATATCCCAATCTGAGTAGAGACAAGTTATCAACTACCAGTGCATGGATGTCAATCGCAATGATGGAAGATATGATCACCACGCATGACGTCTAAACATCAATATTCGATGGTCAGTTTCCCAAATCAAAATATCAACACATGGAAAGTCTTCATGTGTCAACGGTGACGTCGGAAACATGAAGGAACTTTGCCATCCATCAACTTTGATCGGCATTAATGACTAGTTCTAAAATTTTGGAAAAAAAAATATTTAAATAAAAAACAATATTTATATTTATGGAATAAAATAAGTTAATAATACATCAATTTTATTTACAATAATTAATTTTATTTTAAAATTTTTTGAAATATATTAAATTATAGAGTGATTTATGTTTAATTAATTTATAATATTACAAAAATATATTTTTATAATAACTTAACAGTAAGGATAATTTTGCCAAAAAATAATTTTTATTCCATTTCATTGTTGTACAATAATAAGTTATAACTGTGTAAGACAATTTTTTTTCAAATTAATTTATTTGTATATTAAATATTATTGTTAGAAGTTGCATTTGTTCCACGTCTCTAATTTGATAAGCTCTTATGGTGTATATATGTAACTGGACTCCCTCCTTCTTTAAGCTAACTTTCCTTCTTGTTTCTGATATCACTGTTGGCACGTGAAGGCTTTCTGTCCATCGATATCTTGGTCTCGGTAGAGATAAGTCATCGACTACCAGTGTATGGACGTCAATCGCAGTGATGGAAGATATGGTCATCGTGCATGACGTCCAAACATCGGTATTTGACGATCGGTTTCCCAAATCAAAAAATCAACGAATGGAAATGCTTCACGTGCCAGCGGTGACATCGGAAACATGAAGGAACGTTGCCATCCGTCAACTTTGATCAGCATTAATGACCAGTTCTAAAATTTAAAAAAAAAAAAAAGATACGAGCGGAGGAGACACGAGTCGCAACTTCATACAGTCTCATATCTGAGAAAAAAAACGTAGATTGAGAATCCATGGCTATTGAAGCAATCATTTGGCTTGCAGTTTGGAACCTCAATGATGCATAAAGAAATTCTATTTTTTCCAATTACTCCAACAATGGAGGCAACATACCTAGAGTTCACGGATAAGCCTACACAATCAACCTTAATAGTAATAAACAATCACAGATCAAAACAAGAACACCAACACACAATCTTTTATCGTGATTCACTTGTTCGATATTGAACAAGCTACATTCAAGTTGAGCTCTAACTCACTGCATTATTATTATCAACGAATCACAGAGTACCACCTCAATCGCAAACACCCAAATAATCACTCTCAAACAGCTTAATCTTTCAATCGGATTTACAACAAGATTTACACAATAGATGAACAGAATCAAGAACCCTAGCAGAGAGAATACAATCGCGAAAATACACAAAAGAGCAACTGTGCAAACTTGGGCGATTAAGCTTCTTTTATACTGTTGACCATCATTAGTGTTTTCAGCCGTTGGATCAGTCACAAATCAAGGGCCAGGATTGCAAAGGATAATAACCAAAACTGCAGGAGACGCTCTTTTCACCTTTAGAAAAGCTTATCAGATCCAGATAACGTCGTTCAAAGTTGGGATCCCACGCTTGTTAAGCCCTGCACTTGGTTCCACATCACTTGCAATCAAGACAGTCCATTTTTGGTAAGGTGGGTTTTTAATTTCTCATTTTAATGACGCTTAAATTGCTGATTAATGGGCTTCAACTGAGGCAATTTCCATTTCAATTACATATTACTGATGAGCGTATGATAAGTTATGCAGGGATTTAGGTAATTCAAATCTGTCTGGACATCTGGTTCAGGCGGTAATATAGCTCACCATGTTGCGGTTAGGGCAGCCGAAGCTGAAGCAGAAACTGAACCCAAGTTGAAGTACTGGAGAAATTTCTACTTCGCCCAGTGTTTGGCGGAGAAAGAGAACTGAATCAGAGAACGAATCAGAGAACAGATTGGATGGCAAATACACATTACAAGAACTCGTTTCATTAGTTTTTATAAAGAATCTCGTTTTTTATTTTCCGGGTAAACTCACTGCTCAGCTCTCTTTTGCTTATCTAGATAAATATATTAGAACACATTAACAAGAACCATAATTTTATAATTTTGGTGGATTTGCCCATAGATTTATGTGGTTCTTGTCTCTTGTCTCTTTCGATTTCTTTCTGCTGCTAGTTTGTGTTGCTTTGTGAAGCTGCTGATGTTCTGATGTTCTTGGTGCTGCTTTGGAGTGGTGTTGGGTGCTGCTGGGTTTTTTTTGTGCTGGCTGCTGGGTTCTTTGCTTATCCTTTGTGTAGTTGCTGCTGGTGTTTTTTCCTGGTTCAATTTCTTTGTCTTTGGCTCTGTTTTGGCTCCCCTTGCTTTAGCTGCTTTGGGTTGAGTCGCTTGTAAAGGGCTGAGTCTGGTACTAATGAGGATGGGAGTACTTGGTACAGAGAAAGTGGGGAGGACTTGGGCGAGAATGGATCGATGTAGATGGACAAGAATGGGAGGTCATCTCATGATTGTTCCTCTGAATGGAAAGAAACGGTATGTTACCAGTTAATCATATGAAGTTTGAATGCTTGAGTGTTGTTGATTTGGGCATGTAGCAAATTGATAATATTTTTGGTTATAGTTCCTCTGCAATGCTATGGAATTCTATTTTTATTTGGTTTAGCCACTGTTTCATATGCTTTTGCATAGTCAACTGTCATGATATTCTGTGACAATGACATTGTTTTTATAACTCCATTAAGTATCATCCCAGGTATATGCATTAATCGGATTATTGATATCCTTGACAGTGGTGGGAGAAAGGTGACTGGACCGGATACAAAGAGCTAGGTATATTACTTACCTTGTTATTCTAAGAATTATTGTAGAAAAATTATTTACAGTTATCATGATTGCAAGCCACCAAAAAGTAAAAGCCTAGGTTTTGTAACCCTGTTCATTATTATTACTTTGAATTCACTTCTATATGAAAACTATTTATTTTTAGGGCATTATTCTAGTCAAGGTTATGATAAACTGTGTTTCACAGTTGTAAGTACTCGAAGTTTTAGTAAAGAATCTTATTAGAGTAACATGGCATTTCAAGCAGAAATGACTTAATGACATCCATGCAACAACTGGCTGTCTAGTAGGAAATGTTCTTCATGTTTTCATATTGAAAACCATATATAGAAAACAACTGCAGGTAATATTAGAAAAAGCATTTCTGTTTTGGATAAAATTGAAAGGGCTTTGAGCTTTTCCATTTTCTTAATAGTTGTCCCTGGTGGGGCATTTTGAAACTTAAATCCTCACAAAGAAGAGTTCATATCCGTAGGTGTGGAGAAATCTGGAAGAAATGCTGAAGGTGATTCATGGTGGGAAACATTGCAAAAGGTCTTCATCAAGATGAATGGAGGTCTTTTTCTACTTTTATTATTCCTAGTAAAAGTAACACATATGCTTATTTACCAGCTGTCAAGTCTGAAATAAAATATTTCGGTTTCCTCTGTACCCAAATTGATATTTAGTTCCTTTTATGTCTTTGAAACTGTAGCAATTTAGCAAGGATAGAGAGAAGGCCCAGAAACAAGCCAAAACAGGCACTGAATATGCTGGATGGTTTGAGAAATGGTAAGCTGATTTTTCTGTATGATAATCACAATTATGGTATTTTATTTCATTAACAGCACAGTTCATCTAGCTACTTACACTGATAGAACATATTACTTTGGACTCAGGTGGGAAAAGAATGATGCTGAAGGTTGGACTGAGAAAAGGGCACATGAGTATGGTAGACTGAATGAACAGTCATGGTGGGAGAAGTGGGGAGAGCATTATGGTGGAAGAGGATCTGTTCTCAAATGGTTATCAGCTGTCCTAATTTTCCTTGATGATAATATGCAGGTTCAATTTCACTTCACCATATAGACAAACAAAACAACAAAAGCAGAGTTTCCCAAATCAAACTGCACTTCTTTATTAACAAAGACTGTCGACATCCTACCACAAGATAGGTAAGCTAAACAAAACTGTAACCAAATGCAACAATGTATTTAGTACATGACTTTGTGGAAGCAAATACAAATGTATTTTCCTAGTACATTCCATATTTTGTTGGGTCTCTCTCTTTTCTTTTGACTGTTCTATAATTGGTCAGAAGAAGAGGTGGAATTTTTTGAGGATTAGAATTAAAAAATTTGTTCTTAACTCTCTGTAATTTGTTTTGTAATCATTTTCAAGCATGCTGCATGTGCAGGAAAAGGCACTCAGCTTCAAGCATATCCCCTCCTCAACAACGTTCAGTTTCGAAGATCAATGAACCCGGGCTGTTGTATGATGGGACAAATTCACCACTACATACACTACAAGACAACCAATGAAGCTGAGACAATGCAAAAATAAATATATCCAATATTATTTTCAAAATCCTATCCATTCTCAAAATCCTATCTAAAATAATAATCCAAACGCACTGCTTAATATTTTAGAAGTTAATTCTGTGACAATACAAGAAGTAGTTAACTGTTTAAAAAAAATGAATATATAATAGAGAATTCGAAATATGTTGTAAGTGATAGACTTCTACTAAATTGACACATGAAAACACGTGACCTATGCAAGTCTTCTTCAAAACACGGATCTATCTCCTGATTTATCATTGAATAATTAGTCTTTTTCATTTGATAATTAGTCTTTTAGGGAAATGGGTCGTTGAGAAAAGGCTATAAATTTAGGGTCTAGTTTATATTTTATATTTTACAAGCAACACAATTGGGAGAAAAAGTTAATAAAAAACTATCATTTCAGCCCTCTTTATTTTGTTCTTTTTTTTTCAGTCCCTATTAGTTTATTTTATTGTAATTACACAACTAAAATTATAACAAAAAATAAATTATTTTAGGTTTTTTAAGTATGAACTAAGAATTATATATTAATCATCAATTTTGCACAAACTAATTATCATTAAGTTTATGAAGTTTGACGGTAAATTTATTGAATAATTAAACATAAAGTGCAATAAGTTATAACTGTGTAAGACAAATTTTTTTTTTTTTCAAATTAATTTGTTTGTATATCAAATACTATTGTTAGAAGTTATATTTGTTTCAAATCTTTAATTTGATAAGCTCTTATGGTGTATATATGTGGTTGGACTCCCTCTTTCTTTAAGCTAACTTTCTTTCATGTTTCCGATATCACTGTTGGCACGTGAAGGCTTTTTGTCCATCGATATCCCAATCTGAGTAGAGACAAGTCATTGACTATCAGTGTATGGACATCAATCACAATGATGGAAGATATGATCACTGCGCATGACGTCTAAACATCAATATTCGATGGTCAGTTTCCCAAATCAAAATATCAACGCATGGAAAGTCTTCACGTGTCGATGGTGACGTCGGAAACATGAAGGAACGCTGCCATCCGTGAACTTTCATCTGCATTAATGACTAGTTCTAAAATTTTGGAAAAAAAATATTTAAATAAAAAAACAATATTTATATTTATGGAATAAAATAAGTTAATAATACATCAGTTTTATTTATAATAATTAATTTTATTTTAAATTTTTTTGAAATATATTAAATTATAGAGTATTTATGTTTAATTAATTTATATTATTACAAAAATATATTTGTATAATCATTTAACGGTAAGGATAAATTTGCCAAAAAGTATAAATTTTATTCCATTTCATTGTTGTTACAAGTAAACAATATAATCATATTTTAGTCTCTTTTACTTATTCTCATTCCCGTCCCCATCTCTATTTCGATTCTCATGCATTCTGTAAGTAAACACCAGTTGAGAGTCTTTTCCATTAGAAAAATAAAAATTATAAAAGAATGTCCAGAGCCCAGCAGGTTTAACTTAACTTGCAGATATGAGCGAAGGAGACACGAGTCGCAACTTCATACAGTCTCATATCTGAGAAGGTTGCTTCTACTATGGATTGCTGAGGGATTGATGAAAGAAGCGTGGGAAAAACCTGAACATCTGGCGAAAAATTGTGTTGAAGAGCTGAGGGGTAGGAACTTGATCGAGGTAGCAAGTTGGAGGTTAGATGGAATCCCCTAAACATGTTTTATGCCAAGTATTGTATATGATACTTGTTAGAGATAAGGCCTACAAAATCAACCTTAATACTAATAAACAACCACAGATCAAAACAAGAACACCAACACACAATCTTTTACCGTGATTTACTTGTTCGAGATTAAAAAAACTACGTTCACGTTGACCTTCAAAATATAGAGGTTCGCTGCATTATTATTATCAACGAATCACAGAGTACAACCTCAATCGCAAACACCCAAAGAATCACTCTCAAGCACCTTAATCTTTCAACCCTTTACACCATATATCTACAAACCTAGAGAAACCTATTCCTGCTTCTCTACCCTTGAAAGAAACACAACTTCCAATCGGATTTACAAAAAGATTTACACAAGAGATGAAATAGAATCAAGAACCCTAGCAGAGAGAATACAATCGCGAAAATACACAAAAGAGCAACTGTGCAAACTTGGGCGATTAAGCTTCTTTTATACCGTTGACCATAAGAGTGTTTTCAGCCGTTGGATCAGTCACAAATCAAGGGCCAAGATTGCAAAGGATTTAATAACCAAAACTGCAATTACAAATCAAACCTTGGTCTTCTTCAAATCTTTTCTTCTCAATTAAGTCGGTCTTCTTCAAATCTCCTCTCAATTAAGGTTTTCGCAATCTTCACTCAAATTTCCTCCAAATCTGATGGCTCTTTCTCTCTTTAAACAAATGCATGTCCACCGTCCATATCCACCCACGCCACAAAAGCATCACCTCCTTCACCTCAACCCATCGTCCCGCCTCAATATCTCTCCGCACTCAATCCAACCAACCCGACCTCTCCGACCTTTCCACTTCTTCTGACTCCACCACCCTCTCTTTGCTCTCCAATCTCGAGGACGCCAGCCACCTTCTCAAACCCAGCTAACAAACAAACCCTAGAAACAGCCATCAGCCATGGCCACCACCACCACTTCTACCTCCTTGCCATCAGAAGGAGACGCTCTTTTCACCTTTAGAAAAGCTTATCAAATCCAGATAACGTCGTTCAAAGTTGGGATCCCACGCTTGTTAAGCCCTGCACTTGGTTCCACATCACTTGCAATCAAGACAGTCCATTTTTGGTAAGGTGGGTTTTTAATTTCTGATTTTAATGATGCTTAAATTGCTGATTAATGGGCTTCAACTGAGGCAATTTCCATTTCAATTACATATTACTGATGAGCGTATGATAATTTATGCAGGGATTTAGGTAATTCAAATCTGTCTGGACATCTAGTTCAGGCGGTAATATGGCTCACCATGTTGCGGTTAGGGCAGCCGAAGCTGTAGCAGAAACTGAACCCAAGATTGAAGTACTGGAGAATATTCTACTCCGCCCAATGTTTGGCGGAGAAAAGAGAACTGAATCAGAGAATAGATTGGATGGCAAATACACATTAACAAGAACTCGTTTCATTAGTTTTTATAAGAATCTCATTATTTATTTTCCGGGTAAACTCACTTGTTTAGCTCTCTTTTGCTTATTCTAGATAAATATCTTAGAACACATTAACAAGAACCATAATTTTATAATTTTTGGTGGATTTGCCCATAGATTTATGTGGTTCTTGTCTCTTTCGATTTTCTTCTGCTGCCTAGTTTGTGTTGCTTTGTGAAGCTGCTGATGTTCTGATGCTCTTGGTGCTGCTTTGGAGTGGTGTTGGGTGCTGCTGGGTTTTTTTTTGTGTTGGCTGCTGGGTTCTTTGCTTATCCTTTGTGTAGTTGCTGCTGGTGTTTTTTTCCTGGTTTTATTTGCTTTGTTTTGCTCTGTTTTGGCTCCCCTTGCTTTGATCTGCTTTGGGTTGAGTTACTTGTAAAGGGTTGAGTCTGGTACAAATGAGGATGGCAGTACTTGGTACAGAGAAAGTGGGAAGGACTTGGGCGAGACTGGATTTCACAACAGAACAGTGTTCAGTCTTTGCGATTGAAATCAGTGGATGACAATAATAAACCTTCACACCTCCATTTTCCATCCATGTTGAGTCACACAATGCTGTTAAACTTGTATTTGGTCAGAATGATCAATCGACTTGACATAGAAAAACTTTGCCAAAATCTCAGAGTCCTTATATTGTCAGGGTCTCATGTATCAGAATACCCAATGCAGACACTAGAAAGGGTTGGAACACCTGAAAGTGCTCAGGCTTTTCGCTAATTCCTACTCGGGGAAAAAGATGCATTGTCATATTGGCAGCCGTATATTTCCCCAACTCCAGGTATTGAAGTTATGGATGCTAACAGAGTTGATAGAATGGACTATCGACAAAGGAGCCATGCCTGCCCTACGAGATTTAGAGATTAGATGCTGCAAACAACTGGAGAAGTCAATTGGGTTGGAGAATATAACAACTTCTCTAAAGGAATTGACCTGAACCAGTACGAACAAGGATTTTGTAGATGGAATTAAAAGAAGCGTTGGCGAAAATTTAGTCGTTATTGAAAACGACTGGAACTTTCAACCTCTATTTGTGAGTAGTTTTCATTTTTTAAAGTTTATTGTCTTGTTCGTCTGACATTGTTCATATTATTGACTTTATCTTCTGTTTTCATCTTTTAAAGTTTATTCTTCGTCATCTGAAGCCTGATGTGAGTTTCTGGGTTTCTTGTTCCCGTCTCAGGATTAATCAATCACCGATGCAAGGAGTCTCTGTCGAAATGCAATGCTGTGTGAAGAATTCCATTAGATAAATTTCTTGACTAATTAAACAAGTGTAAGTTTATAACTGTGCAAGCCAGATTTTTTCAAATTAAATTCTTAATTATTGATTAGTAACCTTCATCTAAATCCTGTAATTATAATCAAGAGGATTGGGATAAGGATATACACAGTGGAATCTAGGGTTTCTTCAATAAAATTATATTTCAAAGAGGATCCAGGAAATTAATTAATATAATAATTTGAGTAAATTAAACTTGTTAGAAAGAGGATTTGGTATATTGCATAGCGAGATTAGATGTATAGTCAATTCAATTTAAACACATGATTTCAATGCCAAAAACAACATCACATCTTAGATTTCATAATTTTATCACCCATCAGTTATACGAAATTACGAACATATAATTCATTAATAAAAACTAAGATAAAATCTCTAAATTTTGTTGTCATCTAAAGTATTGCTCGGTAGGCTTTCTTCAAGCACTAAGATTATTGAATAATAAATGCATTATTGGAAATTACAAAACATTTGGCATGAAGAGAACATCAAAACATGCAATTTTGCAAGATGTTTACATATAATTCGACTAACTATTTCATGATCAAATCACTTATGGAGATGATCTACAACAAAATAGTAACAAGATGTTGTACATAACTCAACAATATAAAACCATCTACAACGCCAATAAGGGTTTATCAACAAAACTGTAACAATCCCTAAGAGCATAATTATGTATGACACAACAAAACTAATATAGAAGATACTCATATCAATGAAATCATTGTCTTCTCCAGTAATACTTGAATCTGTTGGTTGTGATTCAATTGCATTGCAACTTTTAGGCAATGGTTGTCCACAAAGAAATGGATTTCCCTCGTAGCTATTCTCTTCAAAGGTCCCAAATTGTGCAATCCTATCGGGGAGTTTGCCTGATAAATTATTGTGTGCCACACTAAAAACAGCCAAATTATTTAACTCAACAAGCTGGGGAGGGATTTTCCCAATCAAATTGTTGTATGAAAGATCTAAACTCTCGATCTGCTTGAGATTTGAAAATGTCGATGGGATTGGTCCTGTCAAGTTGTTGTGAGAGAGGTTAAGCGTATGGATTCCGACAAGATTTCCAATTTGATAAGGAATCACACCAACTAACTTATTGCTGGAGAGATCAATTCCAGACATGTAGCTAAGAATTCTTCCATGGTAAGAGTAAGATCTATTCTTCGTTGTAAACTCTACAGTTTCTTCCTTGTCAAGAAGCATCTTTTCTAACCCTCCAAAATAATGTACATAATCAGATGCAACAGTGACTATTGTGATATTTAAACAATGAGGGATATGTCCAGAAAGCTTGTTGCGAGAAAGATCTATCAAACGTAATTGACTTAACTTACACAAACGAATTGGTACTTTACCTTGAAAATCGTTATTACTCAAGATAAGGTAAGTTAAATCAGAAAGTGTACCAATCCAATCAGGAATGTTGCCTTCAAAGTGATTATATCCAATATCTAGCGTCGTTAGAGAAGAACTATTGGATAATCCATCACTTAGTTGTCCTTGTAACTTATTTTTTGACAAATGAACTTGTTTAATTGAGGAAGGGGGAAAGCAAGACGGTAAACTCCCATTAATATTGTTCTCTGAAAGGTCTAATACTTCAAGACTTTCTAGTTGACAAAACTCCAATGGGATTGGACCTTCAAGATGATTCTTTGANCAATTTGATAAGGAATCACACCAACTAACTTATTGTTGGAGAGATCAATTCCAGACATGTAGCTAAGAATTCTTCCTTGGTAAGAGTAAGATCTAGTCTTCGTTGTAAACTCTACGGTTTCTTTCTTTTGAAGAGGCATATTTTTAAGCATTCGAACAATAGGTACATCATCAGATGCAACGACTATTGTGATATTTAAACAAGGAGGGATATGCCCAGAAAGCTTGTTGTGAGAAAGATCTATCAAACGTAATTGACTTAAATTACACAAACGAATTGGTACTTCACCTTGAAAATCGTTATTACTCAAGATAAGGTAAGTTAAATTAGAAAGCGTACCAATCCAATCGGGAATGTTGCTTTCAAAGTGATTATATCCAATATCTAGCGTCTGTAGAGAAGAACTATTGGATAATCCATCAGTTAGTTGTCCCTGTAACTTATTTTTTGACAAATGAACTTGTCTAATTGAGGAAGGCGGAAAGCAAAATGGTAAACTACCAGTAATATTGTTCTCTGAAAGGTCTAATACTTCAAGACTTTCTAGTTGACAAAACTCCAATGGGATTGGACCTTCAAGATGATTCTTTGCCATGATAATTTCCACCAAAGATGACTTATTTCCCAACCACCTTGGTAATGTGCCAACAAGATGGTTATCACTTATATACAACATGTTCAAGGAGCAATTAGACAAACTATCTGGGATCTTTCCAATGAAATTATTGTCATTCAATTGTAAATATAACAACCTTTTCAGGTTAAAATTGGTAGGGAATATCTGACCTTGCAAACTATTGTTTGACAATGCAAGGACCATTAATGAGATGCAACCCACGGCCAAATGCTCAGGTATTTCTCCAGTCAACAAATTGTTGGACAAATCCAAAGACAACAACGACTTCATGTCACCAACCGAATAGGGAATGCTACCACTTAAAGCATTTCTAGAAATGTTTAAATATTGTAGCATTGGTAGATAAGTTCCAAATTCCTTTGGAATGTGCCCATTGAAGGAATTGATGGATATATCTAATTCTTTCAAAGACATGTGAGGATGAATTGGTAATTGCAGAGGCCCTGAAAGAGAATTATTAACTAGATAAAGTCTTTCTAGCTTGGTATTGTTGTTTAACAACCAAACTGGAAACTTTCCCTTCAAATTAATGTCATAGAGATAAACCTCTTGTAAGTCATGCTGACTGTAGAGAAATTTGGGAAATGAACCACTAGATCCACAACTGGATAATGTGATCACATTTAATTGAAATTTTGGGGCCAGATATTGTGACTCAATTCCTTCATATATTTCATTACCATAACCATAGAACTTCTTAAGCTTTGAGTGGTTAAAAAATGGTTCAAGGGAAACAGGGATTTGAAAATGATTGTATGAAAGCCATAATTCTTGGATGGATGTCAGCACCTTAAGGGGAGATAAGGAGATATTTCCCGTAAAATTATTTGATGAGATATCTAGATATAAAAGGGAAGTCAAGTTTGCTAAAAACCAAGGCAAGGTACCCGTAAAATGATTTGATGAGATACCTAGGTGTTGAAGGGAAGTCAAGTTTGCAAGACAACAAGGCAAGGNGCCAAATGCTCAGGTATTCCTCCAGTCAACAAATTGTTAGACAAATCCAAGTACTCCAACGTCTTCATGTCACCAAACGAAGAGGGAATGCTACCATTTAAAGCATTTCTAGAAATGTTTAAAGTTTGTAGCATTGGTAGATAAGCTCCAAATTCCGTTGGAATATGCCCATGGAAGGAATTGATGGATATAACTAATTCTTGCAAAGACATGTGAGGATGAATTGGTAATTGCAAAGGCCCTGAAAGAGAATTATTAACTAGATAAAGGCTTTCTAGCTTGGTATTATTCTTTAACAACCAAACTGGAAACTCTCCCTTTAAAATAATGTTAGAGAGATAAACCTCTTGTAAGTCATGCTGACTGTAGAGAAATTTGGGAAATGAACCACTATATCCACAATTGGATAATGTGATGACATTTAATTGAAAATTTGGGGCAAGATATTGTGACTCAATTCCTGCATATATGTCATTACCATCACCATAGAACATCTTAAGCTTTGAGTGGTTAAAAAATGGTTCAAGGGAAACAGGGATTTGAAAATGATTGTCTGAAACGATTAATTCTTCGATGGATGTCAGCACCTTAAGGGGAGATAAGGAGATATTTCCCGTAAAATTATTTGATGAGATATCTAGATATAGAAGGGAAGTCAAGTTTGCTAAAAACCAAGGCAAGGTACCCGTAAAATGATTTGATGAGATACCTAGGTGTTGAAGGGAAGTCAAGTTTGCAAGACAAGAAGGCAAGGTACCCTTAAAATCATTGTATGAGATATCTAGATATTGAAGGGAAGTCAAGTTTGCAAGACAACAAGGCAAGGTGCCCGTTAAACCATTGCCCCTCATGTTTAAGTGCTGAAGATGAAGCATCTTACAAATTCCTGAAAGAAAAAATGTTCCTTAATAGTTACTATATGAAGCACAAGGGTAATAATAGTCATGCAGATATTACTTAATCAATATGCTTAATAATTATTGTAGTGCACAAATTTAATAAATATACTAGCTATGTGCGCTATTTTTTTTTTCTTTTTAATAGAATTATATACATAAATTATAAATTTTACTTGTAAGGAGAGATAAAAGTTACTAACCTTTGTCAAATTGAGTGTCGCTGATGTTGAGGTTACTACTTGAAATTTCAATAGATTGAAGAGAAGTCATACCCTCAATCATTTGAAGAAATTTGTTGTTAAAAATATTGTTGTTAATAATTAAATTTGTCAGATTCTTGAACGAAGACAACTCTACAAAAGCACAAAAGTAATAAAATATTGTTCAATAATCAATATGGTATATTTCTAATTATTTTAATGTTCTAAATTGAAAAAGAATATTCAATATGGTATAGGGGCTAAACTAGAAAAAAAAAATTCAGTAGGGTTAAATAAAATCTTAAATAAAAATATATATGTATATTTCAAGGTTTTTAAAAGGCTTTTGACAATTTCATGTGATTATTTAAAACTTATAAGAGATCTTTGAGATATCTCAGACTTTACGGTCTTTTAAGTTGATCATAAATCCTAATATTTCTTAATTAGTTTGATTTTGTTGCTTTTAACAAAAGGGTAATGTTGGTTGCAATTTCTTCTGCAATTTCTTAAAGAGGAGTCCATACATTTTATCTAGTCTAAAAAACAAACAACCTTTTTAGACTTTCTATGGGACCACTTTAATTCTCAAAAGGATATTTCAACTAAAATTTACCCATGAATTTTGTGAACCAATTTCAATAAAATATTTTACTACTTTTATATCCTTATTTAAAATAGGATATAGGGGTTAACCTGAAAAAAAAAAAAAAAAAATGAGGCTAAAAAGCATATCTTTTATTTAATGTATCACGGCCAGTAGTGGCTTGAAAAGCCCATGATTTAGGAAAATTGATGGGGGCTACAAGCACCTTGGCAAATCAGATAAGGGCCTCCTTAGAAAGTAAAACAGTTCTTTCTCATATCTCTTTCTTATATTTTCTATTTGCAATATATAAGATATTTTTCCTCATATTTTATATGCATTGAATAATATATATATACTTCTTACGGGAGGCTTGTTACTTTTTTTATTAAAAGATTTGGTACTTTAGTGTAGTAATAATGTTTATTTCTGTACATGACATTGTTATTTTTTAATTATAAATTATAAATTTTACTTGTAAGGAGAAGTTACTAACCTTGGTCAAATAGAGTGTCGTTGATGCCGAGGTTACTACTTTCAATTTCAATATATTGAAGAGAAGTTATACCCCCAATCATTTGAAGAAAATTGTTGTGAAAAACAGTGTCGTAAATATATAAATTTGTTAGATTCTTGAACGAAGGCAACTCTACAAAACCACAAAAGTAGATAAAATATTGTTCAATAATCTACACCAATTATTTAATATTCTAAATTGAAAAGAATATTCAATATGGTATAGGGGCTAAACTAGAAAAAAATTTCGGCAAGGTTAAATAAAATCTTAAATACAAAAATAAAAGAAGATAAAATTACATTAATAAAGAAAGAAGAGAAATAAAGTTGTTTTAAGTTTAATAAGTGTGAAAACAATAAAATGTACGTTTAAAGAGAAAAATGTTAGACTAAAAAATAACTTTAATTAATACATCCTTAGTGTTTCGAAAAATGAATGATCTATAAATCTATAAATCAATTTTCAATTCATACAACTAATCAATTCTCGTCAAATCCTTTAATAAAAAACAAAATTCAATTTTTTTTCATTTTATTTTGTGGAAATTGTAAATAATATGGAATAAATCCTAAAAATTGTCTTTTATCAATGAATGCATTAGACTACTTTAATTCCACTTTTCAGTTTTCTTGATCATTATTTACAAATTATGCAAACTTTCAGGTGACGTAAATGCTCCCATGCTTCGAAGAAAGTTTATATGGAAAGTAGAATAATAGAAGTTGAAGTCTACTACTCTGTTGAAAAAGCAAACAAATTTTAGAAAAATTATTATGTAATTATGACAATAATTTAAAGGCAAAACAAATTAATTTACTTACTTTCAATATTATTGTAACTTACCGTTAGTAATAACTGCTCCACTAAAGTTGGTATCATAGAATTGAAGAGACTTTAGGGATGGGAATAAGCCCAATGTCCGTAAGAGACTGCTTTCATCACTAATACTCACATTGTATAGACCAAACCAAGTCAACTTCCTCAAACTCGTTTCACCTGTGTGTTTGTGAAAATATTCAAACACAAATATCTTAAATGCTTTCTTAGATTGAAAAACAGAGTTCTTTAAATTTATTTGATTTAATAATTAGAATAAAAATACCACTCTAAAATCTGAAATGTGCTCTTTAGAGAAATTAAAGGATGAAAAATGTAAGTTTAAATATTATTAATCATATACCTTTGGAGAATACAACTTTTTTAATCTCATTTCCTCCTATGGCCAAGCTCTCTAAGTTGCTCAAGGAGTCCAATTCTGGAAAGAGTTAAAAAAAAGTGATTAAAACTAATAAAAAAGCATTTAAGAAGACTTTTAATTTCGTTGAAGCCTATGACAAAGTCCTTTAATGATGAAAGACCAAGTAGAGATATGATAAGATGCTATTAAAACATTTTTATCATTAAAACTTAATTAACAACTTTCATTAAGCCAACATTAATTACTTCTAGATATCCATAGGCTTCAATATTGTCTTCCTAAATGAATATAAGTTTTATCCCTTTTTGAAAATCTCATTCTGCTCAACTACTCTACCTTCTTTGTGTTGGTTAAAGAGTTTAATTATAAAGTCAGCTAAAACCATGAGAAAATGAAGAAGATGTTTGGACTGAGTAAACTGAAGTTTCCGAAAGAATCTTATTCAGAGCTTTTAATTTACTTGATTGCAATATCTCCAACTCTAGTTTGACAAAGCAAAGAGAGAGAAAGCCTTCGGTGCAAAATAAATTGTTATACATGAGAGAAATTAAAGATGACAAGCAAGCTTACCTTGAAGATCAACAATGCCTTTTAATCCGACGTTATTCAGATCTAGTACCTTTAATGATGAGAGAGTAGACACATATGATAATATGCTATTGTTGAACATGTTACCGCTTAAGCTCAGAGACTCCAAGTTACTCAACCTTGAAACTGAAATCAGCACATATAATAATAGTAATAATAATAATAATTGTACATAATTTTGTGTATCAATCTAAATATAAAAGTGATAATAAAAGTACATTACCATTAAAATGGTTCAGTTCTCTAAACTGATTATAATCTAGACTTAAATTCTTGAGAGATGAATGTTGGCTCAAACCTGATAAAACGTGGCTGCCATTGAACATATTGTCGCTAAGGTCGAGATCCACGAGATTAGTCAAGTGTGATAATCTTTCAAAACCTACAAAGCAATTCTTGTTAATAAAGACATGGAAGTAAAATTTCATTATTTAAAAGTGAGGATGAAATAACCTTCATTCTCAACGCAACCGACTATGAGATTGTCACTTAAGCAAAGTGTCTCTAGTTCTTGGAATGGAGAAAACAAAGAAACATTTAGATACCACTCTCCTAATTCTTGATTTCTTGTAGATTCAAGATCAAGAGATATCACTCTACCCGTTGTGTTATTGCAAATAACACTTTCCCAATCACAACAGTTTGAATTTCCATTTCCCTCAAACCAATTTGGAAGATGAGTAGGATCATTGAAGAAATGTTTAAGTTGAAAGAGAGCAGATCTCTCTTGCTTCAAACACCCCTCAATCCTCCATCCTTGTAAAGAAATAAACATCAAAATCAACATTAGCCACATCATCACACATTTTAACCCCATCTTTTAATAACACACTAATTGCACTGCTTCTGTGACTACTAAGAGATTAGCTTTGTGCTATTTATAATATTATTGGATCTCAATATTGTATAGACTAAAAACATAGAAGTATTGCCTTTTCAGTGAACAACTTCATTTGATGTAGGACATAGAAGAGGTCAATAAGGGCAAAATTAATGTTGGTCCCCACTGTTGTGGAAGGAAAATTCCCATTGACTGCAACTAGCTTGGAAAAATCAAATTAGGCGGTTTGAGAGTGCTTCCTCTACCATAACTAACAACTTCATTTGCTGTAGGACATAGAAGAGGTCAATAAGGGCAAAATTAATGCTGGTCCCCACTGTTGTGGAAGGAAAATTCCCATTGATTGCAACTAGCTTGGAAAAATCAAATTACGTGGTTTGAGATTGCTTCCATTACGCGGTTTGAGACTGCTTCCTCTACCATAACTAGCAACTTCATTTGCTGTAGGACATGGAAGAGGTGCCCCCACTGTTGTGGAAGGAAAATTCCCATTGACTGCAACTAGCTTGGAAAAATCAGATTACGCGATTTGAGACTCTTCCATTACGCGGTTTGAGACTGTTTCCTCTACCATAACTAATTTAATTAAGTAATATTATATTGTTAAATAAATTATATAAAACATTTTATTTTTATATTGTCATATAGTGTGTTGTTAAGTGAATCAATTTCTTTATACTTAATAATTTTAATTTATATACATGCAGATAGTATATGTGAAAAGGTATAGGCGCATAACCACTTTTGAAATGAAGTTAATTATTAATCACTTTTGAAGATAAATTACAAAAACAATACTTAGTAATATTTTTTATGAGTCAAGGTCAACCAAAGTAACCGAGTTTCTTAGAATCTCTCAATACATTATTGCTAGAAGTCTTTTTCCGCCCAATTGTTTTCTTCAATTATAATTGATGAACAATTCAATTTAGATTTTATATCCTTTTACATTGGACAGATTAGCATTCATGAGATCTTTTGCTCCTTTTTTCTAAAGATTTATTATAAGTTTATATCCTTGTTTCTGTTGTGTATGAAGTAAGCTCAAATCATCTTATCCTCTCTTACTTAATTTTATTGCTTTTTGTTCTTGTCAGTATTGGCTCTTACAATTTTCAATTTCTAAATGGTTTTTTATTCTTGTAGGACCAAGTTGTGGAAAAAATGTTAAGTTGTGGAAAAATCAATTGTCATAGGTCATAACATCTATTTCACGAAGACTTATTCAAATATCATGACTTTTGAAACTTAATGCAAAATTTCCATATTGATTTTCCAATGACGCAAGAAGTCTACCCAAAATTTATTTAATGTAAGGACAGATTGTGGAAGAAAGATTGGAAAACCCAATTATCACGGTTCAAAGACATCAGTTTCATGAAAGCAAATCCAACATAAGAATAGACTTTGACATAATCGTTTATCTGATTTTAATTATTAAAACTATGTAATTCAATATAGATATTACTCATGTATATGCACATGATGAATAATATGGTTTTATATTTGTTCAATTGTTAAACAATTAACATTTATTATATCATTTATACAAATAAAACTTATTATATCTATAATTTATAAAAATGCTCAAGTAAAAGAATATATTGACAAGACTCATCACAACCTTCTTATCTCATAGAATCTGGACGTTTCTATAAAACTTAAGAGACCAAGACGAGTCGTGTATGAATATCGAAAAACTAATCTCTTTTTGAACTTTCATAAATTTCGTTAGCTTCAAATCCTTTTTTTTTTTTTTTTTTTAAACAAAACGGTACACATCATAAATTCTGGATCTTAAAATCGTAAAACCAATTGTCACGGCTCATAAACATCTATTTCATGAAGACTGACTCAAACATCCTAACTCCTTAAACTTAATGCAATTTCCATACTTGATTTTCCAATGGGGCAAGAAGTCTACCTAAAATTTATTTAATGTAGGGCCAAGTTGTGGAAGAAAGGTTGAACCAATTATCACGGCACAAGAATAGGCTTTGACATAATCATTTTGTCTTTTTTTAATTATTAAAACTATGTAATTCAATATAGATATTACTCATATTTATGCACATGATGAATAATATGGTTTTATATTTGTTCAAGTATTAAACAATTAACTTTATATCATTTATATAAATAAAGCTTATTATATCTATAATTTTTAAAAACAATCCAAGTAAGAGAATATATTGACAGGTACCGTCCTAGCCTTCTCTATCTCATAGGATTCATTCATTCCTATAAGACTTAAGAGACCAAGATGAGTCATGTATGAGTATCAAAAATCTAATCTCTTTTTGAACTTTCATAAATCTCCTTAGTACCACGTCCTTTTTCTAAAGACAAAATGGTGCATATCATAAATTATGATCTTAAAATCATAAATACTAGAACAAAATAATATGGAAACTATGGGTAATAGACCCTCAAGTATGAAAGACAAAATATGTGACATAACACACAAAATGGACTGATGTCGCATGGGCCCAACCTCGATGGAAAGTCATTGCTCTATACAATCCCTGTGGTCAATGGGAGGGGGAAATTTTAAAAGGGTGAGTTAAAAATACTCAGTGTGTGGATGATTTTGTAAAACAGTTTTCAAAAAATCATGAAGTATGAAAATAAGTACTTATAAACTGTTTACTTTATTAGTTCATTTATGTTACAGTAAAATTGATAACTGATAAATGATTTGATACCGTAAACTAATAACTATTCTAATATTGTAAAGCTGAGAACTAATGTGATACTATAAAACTAATAATTGATACTGAGGTTCTCACCACAACTAGTACCCATGGGAATATCTGTCATACTTGGTGGGCAGCTCACACACAGGCAGAGTAGGGAAAAATATGTCATACCTGGAAAGCTCTAACATCACACAGGCAGAGCAACTAAATCTGTCATACTTGGCAGGAAGCTCATTGCTCAGATGGAGCAACTAAACTTGTTGTACGCATGCGTACAACCGATATCTGAGATCTATAACTCTGTATCTGAAAATCTCCAAATTTGATCTCTAAAGGTGGTAAACTATTGTAAATCTTATATTTAGTTTAATACATTATTTTCTTCAAAATGTAGGCCTTTATAATTATTACAACATTATAATAATAATTTATGATATACAATTAGGGGGCTAAAATGTAAATAAAGAACATGAGATTACTTTTAAATTAACTGCACTAAGGACTCAAATAAAACTTTACACTTAATTATTAAATACAAATTGCAAATNTATAAAAATGCTCCAAGTAAAAGAATATATTGACAAGACTCATCCCAACATTCTCTATCTCATAGAATAGGGTGTTCCTATAAGACTCAAGAGACCAAGACGAGTCATGTATGAGTATCGGAAAAACTAATCTCTTTTTGAACTTTCATAAATTTCCTTAGTTTCAAATCCTTTTTTTTTTTTTAAATAAAATGGTACACATCTTAAATTATGAATCTTAAAATCATAAAACCAATTGTCACGGCTCATAAACATCTATTTCATGAAGACTGACTCAAACATCCTAACTCCTTAAACTTAATGCAATTTTCATACTTGATTTTCCAATGGAGCAAGAAGTCTACCCAAAATTTATTTAATGTAGGGCCAAGTTATGGAAGAAATGTTAGAAAAACCAATTATCACGGCACAAGAATAGGCTTTGACATAATCATTTTGTCTTTTTTTAATTATTAAAACTACGTAATTCAATATAGATATTACTCATATTTATGCACATGATGAATAATAAGGTTATATATTCTTTCAAGTGTTAAACAACTAACATTTATTATATCATTTATATAAAATAAGCTTATTATACCTTTAATTTATAAAAATGCTCCAAGTAAAAGAATATATTGACAGGACCCGTCCCAGCCTTCTTTATCTTATAAAATTTGGGCATTCCTATAAGAGTTAAGAGACCAAGACGAGTCGTGTATGAGTATTGAAAAACTAATCTCTTTTTTAACTTTCATAAATTTCCTTAGTACCAAATCTTCTTTCTAAAAACAAAATGGTGCATATTATAAATTCCGAATCTTAAAATCTGAAAATCAATTGTCACGGCTCATAAACATCTATTTCATGAAGACTGACTCAAACATCCTAACTCCTGAAACTTAATGCAATTTCCATACTTGATTTTCCAATGGAGCAAGAAATACCTACCCAAAAGTTATTTAATGCAAGGCCAAGTCGNAAAACAATACTTGGACATATTTTTTTTGAGTCAAGGTCAACCAAAGTAACAAGTTTCTTAGAATCTCTTTATACATTATTGCCAGAAGTCTTTTTCCACCTAATTGTTTTCTTCAATTATAATTGATGAACAATTCAATTTAGGTTTTTAATCCTATTACATTGGACACATTAGTGTTCATGAGATCTTTCGCTCCTTTTTTCCATGAGATTAATTATAAATTTATATCCTTGTTTCCATTGTGTATGAAGTAAACTCAAATTATCATATCCTCTCTTAATTTTATAGCTTTTTGTTCTTGTGGGTATTGGCTCTTACAATTTCCAATTTCTAAATGGTTTTTTATTCTTGTAGGACCAAGTTCTGAAAATAAATGTTCAAGTGGTGGAAAAAACAATTGTCACTAGTCATAACATCAATTTCATGAAGAATTACTCAATATCATGACTCTTGAAACTTAATGCAATTTCCATACTTGATCTTCCAAAAGGGCAAGAAGTCTATCCAAAATTTATTTAATGTAGGGTCCAGTTGTGGAAGAAAGGTTAGAAAAAACTTAATGCAATTTCCATACTTGATTTTCCAAAGGGGCAAGAAGTCTACCCAAAATTTATTTAATGTAGGGCCAAGTTGTGGAAAAAAGGCTGAAAAAACCAATTATCACGGCTCAAAGACATCAACTTCATGAAAGCAAATCCAAGATAAAAATAGGATTTGACATAATCATTTTATCTTATTTTAATTATTAAAACTATGTAATTCAAT